TATATATATATATATGTCGTACCTAGTAGCCAGAATGCACTTCTTGGCCTACTATGCAAAGCCCGATTTGCCTAATAAGCCAAGTTTTCCTGAATTAATATATTTTCTCTAATTTTTTTCTTATGAAATGATAAAGCTACCCATTTCATTATGTATGAGGTCAATTATTTTTACTGGAGTTAAAATTAACGTAGATATATGACCGAACCTAACCAACCCTACCTAACCTAACCTAACCTATCTTTATAGGTTAGGTTAGGTTAGGTAATGGAAAAAGTTAGGTTAGGTTAGGTTAGGTAGGTTAGGTACTCGAAAAACAATTAATTCATGAAAACTTGGCTTATTAGGCAAATTGGGCCCTGCATAGTAGGCTGAGAAGTGAGTTCTGGCTACTAGGTACGACATATATATATATATATATATATATATATATATATATATATATATGTCGTACCTAGTAGCCAGAACGCACTTCTCAGCCTACTATGCAAGGCCCGATTTGCCTAATAAGCCAAGTTTTCCTGAAATATTATATTTTCTCTAATTTTTTCTTATGAAATGATAAAGCTACCCATTTCATTATGTATGAGGTCAATTTTTTTTAATGGAGTTAAAATTAACGTAGATATATGACCGAACCTAACCAACCCTACCTAACCTAACCTAACCTATCTTTATAGGTTAGGTTAGGTTAGGTAGCAGAAAACGTTAGGTTAGGTTAGGTTAGGTAGGTTAGGTAAACGAAAAACCATTATTTCATGAAAACTTGGTTTATTAGGCAAATTGGGCCTTGCATAGTAGGCTGAGAAGTGCGTTCTGGCTACTAGGTACGACATATATATATATATATATATATATATATATATATATATATATATATATATATATATGTGTGTGTGTGTGTATGTATGTATGAATAACTCAATAAAAAATAATAATAAAATAAAGAGCCTTAAACAGAACAACATGTGTGGAAGCATGGGAGTGTGTATATATGAATGCTACACAGTATTCATCTATAGACATCCATATATGGTGAAACACATGTGAAGAACCTCTCACACACTCACAGCTCCCTGACAAGAGGGAGCCAGCTTAGCTTAGCTGCCAACACCCACACATCGTGTCAGCAAGGCGGACAGCCCGCCTGCTTTTATACCTCTCACTGTATTTCCCACTTCTATACTTCCCTTCACCTATGCCTCTCCTTCCTCTTTACTCCCCCCCCCCCCCAAAAAAAAAAATCATAGCGACTTTGTTTACATTTATTAAACAGTTTACAAGCGTGTAAACTCCACAACCCAAGGTTGTTATTGTTATAAACAACCTCGTGGTGCTTCAGAGCTCATAACCTGCTTAATACGTGTAAACAAAGCCGCCATGATTGGGGAAAGATGCACAGGTTTCGTAAGTGGCTGGTACTAAGAAAAGTAGCCACTGGTTAGGTTAGGTGAATGGCTTGGGTTCGAATGTTTCTGGTTATGTTAGCACGTTGTATTTTGACCGTTGTGGCAGGAGGAACAGTCAGGATGACACAAGGTCTAATCAGGAGACAAAATAATTATCATTTCCTCCTGGAATTTAAATAATTCCCTATAAGACGCCAGAGTTATTCGGGAGAGTCATTTAACTGTGACATGGAATGCATTAGGCAGTGATGTGATGGAGGCTGACTCCATACACAGTTTCAAGTGTAGATATGATAGAACCCAATAGGCTCAGGAACCTGTACACCAGTTGATTGACGGTTGAGAGGCGGGACCAAAGAGCCAGAGCTCAACCCTCGCAAACACAACTAGGTGAGTACATAAGCCCTTGTTGCCCGGATAGTAAGACTAGAGGTGTGAGAGGGGGGGGGGGGGAGGTGGCTACAGGTGTGGGAGGTGTGGGAGGAGGGGGCTGCAGGTGTTTGGGACGAGGTGTGGAAAACCAGGTGAAAGTAAGGTGTGGGGGGGGGAGGGGGAAGGGGGGAGCAGGTGAAGTGAGTAGAAGCAGGTTGGAGAGAGAGAAGGAGGGAGGGAGAGTGAGAGAGTGGGGGGAGGGGTGTACGCCTCTTGACAGCAGAAGGCCAAGAGTTGACAGGAGGGCACCAATCACCGGGCTGTGAAGACTCGCCACTCTGCTGTCAAGAGCTGCTCAAGACGTGACTCTTGACGGCCACTGGACAAGCACTCAACCCCTGTACGTCAACCACCGCTTCTCTTGACATGTGGGCGCAAAAATGTTGACATATGTGCGAGGATAATGTAGGCATGTGTATATATGTGGGCTGCTGGCGTGTGTGTATATGTGGGCTGCTGGTGTGTGTGTATATATGTGGGCTGCTGGCGTGTGTGTATATATGTGAGCTGCTGGGGTGTGTATATATGTGGGCTGCTGGCGTGTGTGTATATGTGGGCTGCTGGCGTGTGTATATATGTGGGCTGCTGGCGTGTGTGTATATGTGGGCTGCTGGCGTGTGTATATATGTGAGCTGCTGGCGTGTGTATATATGTGGGCTGCTGGTGTGTGTGTATATGTGGGCTGCTGGCGTGTGTATATATGTGGGCTGCTGGCGTGTGTATATATGTGGGCTGCTGGCGTGTGTATATATGTGAGTTGCTGGTGTGTGTATATATGTGGGCTGCTGGCGTGTGTATATATGTGGGCTGCTGGTGTGTGTATATATGTGGGCTGCTGGCGTGTGTATATATGTGGGCTGCTGGTGTGTGTATATATGTGAGTTGCTGGCGTGTGTATATATGTGGGCTGCTGGCGTGTGTATATATGTGAGTTGCTGGCGTGTGTATATATGTGAGTTGCTGGTGTGTGTATATATGTGGGCTGCTGGCGTGTGTATATATGTGGGCTGCTGGCGTGTGTATATATGTGAGTTGCTGGCGTGTGTATATATGTGGGCTGCTGGTGTGTGTATATATGTGAGTTGCTGGCGTGTGTATATATGTGGGCTGCTGGCGTGTGTATATATGTGGGCTGCTGGCGTGTGTATATATGTGAGTTGCTGGCGTGTGTATATATGTGGGCTGCTGGTGTGTGTATATATGTGGGCTGCTGGCGTGTGTAGAGGGAATACGCTGTGCGTTGAAGTATATATGTTGGGCAGGCAGATGAATGTATACATAAGAACAAAATATGTACAAGAGAAACTTAATTAGGTTTGTTTATCCATACGAGGCAGCTCCTATTGGTCCATACGAGGCAGCTCCTATTGGTCCATACGAGGCAGCTCCTATTGGTCCATACGAGGCAGCTCCTATTGGTCCATACGAGGCAGCTGCTATTGGTCCATACGAGGCAGCTCCTGTTGGTCCATACGAGGCAGCTGCTATTGGTCCATACGAGGCAGCCCCTATTGGTCCATATGAGGGAGCTCCTATTGGTCCATACGAGGCAGCTCCTATTGGTCCATACGAGGCAGCTCCTATTGGTCCATACGAGGCAGCTGCTATTGGTCCATACGAGGCAGCCCCTATTGGTCCATACGAGGCAGCTCCTATTGGTCCATACGAGGCAGCTCCTATTGGTCCATACGAGGCAGCTCCTATTGGTCCATACGAGGCAGCTGCTATTGGTCCATACGAGGCAGCCCCTATTGGTCCATATGAGGGAGCTCCTATTGGTCCATACGAGGCAGCTCCTATTGGTCCATACGAGGCAGCCCCTATTGGTCCATACGAGGCAGCTGCTATTGGTCCATACGAGGCAGCCCCTATTGGTCCATATGAGGGAGCTCCTATTGGTCCATACGAGGCAGCTCCTATTGGTCCATACGAGGCAGCTCCTATTGGTCCATATGAGGGAGCTCCTATTGGTCCCTACGAGGCAGCTCCTATTGGTCCATACGAGGCAGCTGCTATTGGTCCATACGAGGCAGCTCCTATTGGTCCATACGAGGCAGCTGCTACGTATGGACCAATAGGAGCTCCCTCATATGGACCAATAGGAGCTGCCTCGTATGGACCAATAGGAGCTGCCTCGTATGGGCCAATAGGAGCTCCCTCATATGGACCAATAGGAGCTGCCTCATATGGACCAATAGGAGCTCCCTCATATAGACCAATAGGAGCTGCCTCATATGGTCCAATAGGAGCTGCCTCGTATGGACCAATAGGAGCTCCCTCATATGGACCAATAGGAGCTGCCTCGTATGGACCAATAGGAGCTGCCTCGTATGGACCAATAGGAGCTCCCTCATATGGACCAATAGGAGCTGCCTCGTATGGACCAATAGGAGCTCCCACATATGGACCAAAAGGAGCTGCCTCGTATGGACCAATAGGAGCTGCCTCGTATGGACCAATAGGAGCTGCCTCGTATGGACCAATAGGAGCTGCCTCATATGGACCAATAGGAGCTGCCTCGTATGGACCAATAGGAGCTGCCTCGTATGGACCAATAGGAGCTCCCTCATATGGACCAATAGGAGCTGCCTCGTATGGACCAATAGGAGCTCCCTCATATGGACCAATAGGAGCTGCCTCGTATGGACCAATAGGAGCTGCCTCGTATGGACCAATAGGAGCTCCCTCATATGGACCAATAGGAGCTGCCTCGTATGGACCAATAGGAGCTCCCTCATATGGACCAATAGGAGCTGCCTCGTATGGACCAATAGGAGCTGCCTCGTATGGACCAATAGGAGCTGCCTCATATGGACCAATAGGAGCTGCCTCGTATGGACCAATAGGAGCTGCCTCGTATGGACCAATAGGAGCTCCCTCATATGGACCAATAGGAGCTGCCTCGTATGGACCTATAGGAGCTCCCTCATATGGACCAAAAGGAGCTGCCTCGTATGGACCAATAGGAGCTGCCTCGTATGGACCAATAGGAGCTGCCTCGTATGGACCAATAGGAGCTGCCTCGTATGGACCAATAGGTCGCCTGCAGTTTCCGTATTCATACGTAAATATTATTAGGTAATTATGGTGGTGACTTGAATGTAGGCGTTTATGAGTTTATTTCTTTCTTAAAAATATTAATTTTCTTTCCGCAGGTGGTGTGATTGACCGACTTGTCCTGGGGCGAGACGGAGGTCACAGCCAGCTGGCGTGGGCGTGCCATCTGTGGGCGTAGATCAAGCCAGGACACAGGTAGCTGGTTCCAGCTTACTCTCCGCTAGGTGATGCATGCGTAACCCCTTCCGCCAGCCAGGTGGTTTAAGCGGGGCGTGACCCAGGTGGTGGAGGCGGGATGAACCAGCTGTGTCGTGTGTGTGGGGAGCCCGCAGCTGGCTTCCACTTCGGCGCCTTCACCTGCGAAGGATGCAAGGTGAGGATGGTCATATTCTCCTCTTGTTCTCTCCGTCTGTTGTGTGTTAGGTTTTGTCTCATAGTCGTCTCATCTCTCTCATTCTTCCTCTCTTTATTGACGTCTCTCTTTCATCATTGTTGGGCCATTAAACATGTCATGCACGCACGCACGCTCGCACGCGCACACACACACATATACACACACACACACACACACACACACACACACACACACACACACACACACACACACACACACACACACACACACACCATAAAGATTAGGATCCAATTAGGGAATTTTTTAAGCTGTTAGGATATCCAGACGCGGATCGTAGCGTAGATGAGTCAAGCTGGATGGATGAGGGCTAGAACCACAATAGTAATATCGATGAGTCAGGCTGGATGAGTAAGGCCCTCATGACACCTCTTCTATAATACTCATCTCTCCTTCCCCACCTTGACCCAGGGGGTCAAAGCCATACCTCCATATGGCTCTCTGAGTAATTAAATGATTAATCATGATCGTTATTATTATCACACAGAGTAATCACACTATCGTAATGCATCATTGATAACATTGATGACAAGGAGTCAGACATTGATGCAGGGTAACATTGTGATGTTTATTGAAATAGAAGCCTCAAGGGGATAGAACATTCCTAGATGACGGAATATTACGGGCTCACCATAGCCCGTGCTACTTGGAACTTTGTTCTAGGTAGCGAATCTTTAACAACAACAACTTATAATTCAAACTCATACTCACACTCATACTCAAACTCATGCTCCTCATACTCAAACTTACACTCATTAAACCAATTCAAAATTATTTTCATTGCATTTTTTATGTCATAAATATATTAGGATAAATTTTATGCAGCTTCGTGTGCTTCATTTTTTTTTTTTTCAAATGTATAATATTTTTATACATTTGAAAGTTTACGTATAATCTAATTTATACATTTATATGTATACATGTATTCATTTAATATTCACATTTAAATTTATACATTTTAATCTAATCAATCGATGGTATGCTAAGTTGGATAGTTTTGATGATTAATGTATATTGATTGATCATATTAATCTCCCAAGCATTATTCCTTTAAGGTTGGACATACAATATGAAGTATGCAAATGTATAAGAATTACATATTCAGGGCCGGTTGTTCAAATACGCCCCATCAATGTTTTGCTTAAAACCTTAAAACAGGTTTTGAAAACTATAATTTTTTTTGGTGATATATTTAATCAAAAAACACATTGATGATTCTCTCATGTTGTCTACTATTGTTATTTAGTTCATTATCTCTCTCTCTCTCTCTCTCTCTCTCTCTCTCTCTCTCTCTCTCTCTCTCTCTCTCTCTCTCTCTCTCTCTCTCTCTCTCAGAGCCCGTCACACACCTGTCATCTTAGAGCCGTCACACACCTGTCATCTTAGAGCCGTCACTCACCCGTCATCTTAGAGCCGTCACACACCCGTCAGTCCCAACCAAATGCTAGAATTTGTTAACATTTTATAAAAAAAATGACAATAAAACATTAAGTTACGATCCCTGACTAAGGTGTTTAAAGTTTTGAATTTCACAAATATTGAAGTTACTAAAATACGTCTTGTTGAGCTATTTTGAATTCAACATACAGTTGGATTATACAACTCGGAATTAGAATGCATCATTGTTTTCTATTAAGACTTTAGCAGATAAATTAAGACGAGAGTGATATCGAAGTCAGAGAGTGAGATATCGAGTGATATCTCACTGTCTTTGTGAGATAGCAGCCTTGTAGGGAGCCTTGAAGTCTGGGTGTATATTGTTGCTGTTGCTGCTGCTGCTCCTGTTGCTGCTACTGTTCCTGCTGCTGCTGCTCCTGCTGTTCCTGCTGCTGCTGCTGTTGCTGCTCCTGTTGCTGTTGCTGTTCCTGCTACTGCTGCTGTTGCTGCTCCTGTTGCTGCTACTGTTCCTGCTGCTGCTGCTCCTGCTGTTCCTGCTGCTGCTGCTGTTGCTGTTCCTGCTGCTGCTGCTGCTGCTGCTGCTGTTCCTGCTCCTGCTGTTCCTGATCTTGCTGCTGTTGCTGTTCCTGCTGCTGCTGCTGTTGCTGCTCCTGTTGCTGCTACTGTTCCTGCTGCTGCTGCTCCTGCTGTTCCTGCTGCTGCTTCTGCTGTGGTTCCTGCTCCTGCTGCTGCTGTTGCTACTGCTGTTCTGGGTGCTGCTGCTGTTGCTGTTCCTGCTGCTGCTGCTCCTGCTGCTCCTGCTGCTGCTGGCACTGCTTGAGGTGTGGGTAGACATGACCATCTTCTGCTGTGTTATTTTCTCCCTTCAACGCTCTGGGTTTTCTCCCTTCAACGCTCTGGGTTTTCTCCCTTCCTGTGCCTGTCAATACGGTCATCTGTTCACAGTCACTACTGTTCAACAGAGCACCTTCAACAGTCGAACACAGTGCTCGGTTCTGTAGGCCCGTAACTGGATATATATATATATATATATATATATATATATATATATATATATATATATATATATATATATATATATATATATATTGGACGTAACTCTGGTTTCTTGAGCGATGTTTTTCTTCATTTTCTCGAGGGACTTAAGGTGGACAGGTTGATGGGTCGTTACGTTTCTTCATCACAAGTCCCTTGAACGACCTTGTGGGTGATATGATGGGTTTTTATGACCTGAACGGCCATTGTTCTGATGGGGTGGTTTTCAGTGGCTAGTGAATATATTATTTTTAAGAATGACGTATATTGGCGACTTGTCACCTCTCCTGACGACTATCTCCTTGTTCTCGCGAAGGCTCTTAGCTGCCGCTTTGAGCTCGGGGGACAGTATGCCAGTATACGTTATTCTTAAAAAAGACGAATATCTGGCAAAAATGAACCTCATACTCTCTGACCAAACTAAGTTCCATAGGGTAATGAAGGACACTACAGCCGAATTGAACACGAAGGTAAACAGATTGATCGGAACTGTGAACGTCAAGAAATCTGGACTCCACCTACCAAAGGTTATTGGGGAATGCAAACCTGGGTATGCGTATGGAAATGTCACGACCCACAAGCCTGGAAACCCACTTCGGCCAATCATCAGCCAGATACCCACACCCACGTACAGACTGGTTATTTGACTCAATGGCTTGCTGACACCTTATGTACCTTGTGCTTTCAGCCTGAAGTCTCCAAAGAAATTTGTCGACTTACTGCGGGGAGCAAGGGCTACGGGGATAAGAGCCTCATTGGATGTAGAATCATTGTTTACCAACGTACCGGTGGATGAAACAATCAGGATGATAGCGGACAGAGTGTATTGTGATCTGGCTTGCACTCCTCTTGACATACCAGAAAACATTCTAAGGAAACTACTCCAAGTTTGTACTAAAGAGGCACCCTTCTTGAGCCCGGATGGGCACATGTATAAGCAAGTAGATGGGGTCGCCATGGGTTCTCCCCTAGGTGTCCTGTTTGCAAACTTCTACATGGGTACCATCGAGCAAAAAGTCTTAGTCGACATGAACTTGAAACCGGCCATATACTGCAGGTATGTTGACAACATTTTTACACAGGTACCTGATGTCAGACATCTGCAGGAGCTGAAGGAGGCATTTGAGTGGAATTCTGTGTTGAGTTTCACTTACGAGATGGAGAATGATGGGAAGCTGCCCTTTCTAGATGTAACAGTCACGGAAAGGAGCGGAGGTTTCCACACTGCAGTCTACACTAAGGAAACAAACATAGGAATGTGCCTCGATGCCAATAGTGACTGCCTAGACAGGTACAAAAGGAGTGTTGTCAACGCTTAAGTCGACCGGGCTCTCAGCCACAGCTCAGGATGGAAGCAAGTCGACGAAGAACTCTGTAGCGTAAGGCAGGGCCTAGTCAACAACGGCTTCTCTAACAATATTTTGTTGAAGACATCATAAAAAAGAAAGGTGAAACGCCATGCAACCTCTGAAGAGTCAACCAACACAACACTTGTACCCCCAATTAGACTATTTTACAGGAACTTCTTTTCGACGGCTCATAAAACGGAGGAAAGTGTCCTGAAAGACATTGTTGATAGGAACGTTATCCCTACAGACAAAAATCAGTAAATACAAGTGACAGTTTACTATAAAACCAAGAAAACGGCCAACCTACTCATGAAAAACTCTCCAGACACAAAGCAGAAAGCCTTGAAGGAAATCAATGTCGTCTATGCCTTTAAATGCCCACTTGGGAACTGTAAGCCTCAAAGAACTCAGTATATAGGCAAGACAACAACGTCTCTTTCCAGGTGATTAACAATGCATAAGCAACAGGGCTCCATCAAGGAACATATAATCTCTTCCCACGACCAGACCATCACCAGAGAAATCTTAACAAACAACACAGAAATCATCGATAGATACAGCAATAGCAGGCGGCTCGACGTCTGCGAGGCACTACACATCAAAAAGTCAACACCAGCAATCAACAGCCAATTAATGCACAACTATATTCTACCCACTTCAAGACCCCGAACCAACATAGAAGTAGGAAGAAGAGGTATGGGCCAATAGGCCTTCTGCATATATATATATATATATATATATATATATATATATATATATATATATAAAATTATCTGTAAGGAATATCTATGTTATCTTTATTCCCGTTCTCTATAATTCTATTTACTCATATATATTCCTGTTCTCTATAATTATATTTGCTTAACTATAATCGTTATCTCTCCTGTATATCTATAAGAATAATACTTAAATAATATATTAATTAAAAACGATCATTATACATAATTATTATCAATATAGTGGGCTGTGTTTTGTAAGTAATACGTAAGTGTCTCTTAAGTAATGACGAAAGTGTTTCTGTAAGTAATGACGTCAGTGTGTTATAAGTTGTAAGTGTTACATACGCCACATGTAAGTGTTTTGAGTTTTCTTTGGGTGGAAGGAAGGGGTTTTGTAATGTATTGGCAAGACACGAGATGTTTGTAATATATTGGCAAGACACGAGATGTTTGTAATATATTGGCAAGACACGAGATGTTTGTAATGCATTGGCAAGACACGAGATGTTTGTAATGTATTGGCAAGACACGAGATGTTTGTAATGCATTGGCAAGACACGAGATGTTTGTAATGTATTGGCAAGACACGAGATGTTTGTAATATATTGGCAAGACACGAGATGTTTGTAATGCATTGGCAAGACACGAGATGTTTGTAATGTATTGGCAAGACACGAGATGTTTGTAATATATTGGTAAGACACGAGATGTTTGTAATGTATTGGCAAGACACGAGATGTTTGTAATGTATTGGCAAGACACGAGATGTTTGTAATATATTGGCAAGACACGAGATGAAAGGGCACCAGAGCCACAAACATGTATATGTATTGGCAACAACAGAGTGTGTGAGCCTCAGTATATGTATACCGCTGCCTCGCTGTACAACTTTCTGACGGGATATACATGTAAGCCTCTAGAGACATACACAGTTGAATTGCTCACATATCAGAATGTACAGTGGGGCTGCGCTGAACACTAGCAGTACAAATTTACGGGCTCACCATAGCCCGTGCTACATGGTCACCTAGTCCTGAGTAGCTAAATCTAAAACAACAACAACAACAGCTAGCAACAAGAAACTATTGTATTAATGTATCCAAGTGGTGAAAGTTGAAGCCGGATGGGAATATTATCCGGATTCCAAGCACTGTTAAACAAGCCATTAAACCGGAGATACAATTAGTTAACAATGACCCTCCTCTAAGACGACCTCGTAAATAGCAAATAATAAGATAACAATGAAGTACTTGATAACGCAGATAACAGCACTAACGCAGATTATTTATATGACAGTCTTAAACGTTTAGCGTTTTCAGAAATAGTGAAATTATATATATATATATATATATATATATATATATATATATATATATATATATATATATATATATATATATATATATATATATATATATATATACCCTTCTACCTAGTAGACTGTTTGCTATGCTGCCTCTCTACCCAAGTAGATATATTCCTTCTAAAGTAGACACTCTACCGTAGAGTGTCTAGGGTAGATCTACTCTACCGTAGATTATCAAACAATTACCCTACAACAACAACACTGATTAGCCGGTAATATGTTCCCCCAGTGACACTCCTCCCCCCCAGTACATCTCCCCAGTGCCTCTCCCCAGTAACACCTGCCTCTCCCCCAGTACGTCTCCCCAGTAACACCTGCCTCTCTCCCCAGTGCGTCTCCCCAGTAACACCTGCCTCTCTCCCCAGTACGTCACCCCAGTAACACCTGCCTCTCTCCCCAGTACGTCACCCCAGTAACACCTGCCTCTCTCCCCAGTGCCTCTCCCCAGTAACACTTGCCTCTCTCCCCCAGTACGTCTCCCCAGTAACACCTGCCTCTCTCCCCAGTAACACCTGCCTCTCTCCCCAGTACGTCACCCCAGTAACACCTGCCTCTCTCCCCAGTGCCTCTCCCCAGTACGTCACCCCAGTAACACCTGCCTCTCTCCCCAGTACGTCACCCCAGTAACACCTGCCTCTCTCCCCAGTACGTCACCCCAGTAACACCTGCCTCTCTCCCCAGTACGTCACCCCAGTAACACCTGCCTCTCTCCCCAGTACGTCACCCCAGTAACACCTGCCTCTCTCCCCAGTACGTCACCCCAGTAACACCTGCCTCTCTCCCCAGTAACACCTGCCTCTCTCCCCAGTACGTCACCCCAGTAACACCTGCCTCTCTCCCCAGTGCCTCTCCCCAGTACGTCACCCCAGTAACACCTGCCTCTCTCCCCAGTAACACCTGCCTCTCTCCCCCAGTGCGTCTCCCCAGTAACACCTGCCTCTCTCCCCAGTACGTCACCCCAGTAACACCTGTCTCTCTCCCCAGTACGTCACCCCAGTAACACCTGCCTCTCTCCCCAGTGCCTCTCCCCAGTAACACCTGCCTCTCTCCCCCAGTACGTCTCCCCAGTAACACCTGCCTCTCTCTCCCCAGTAACACCTGCCTCTCTCCCCAGTACGTCACCCCAGTAGCACCTGCCTCTCTCCCCAGTGCCTCTCCCCAGTACGTCACCCCAGTAACACCTGCCTCTCTCCCCAGTACGTCACCCCAGTAACACCTGCCTCTCTCCCCAGTGCCTCTCCCCAGTACGTCACCCCAGTAACACCTGCCCCTCTCCCCAGTAACACCTGCCTTTCTCCCCCAGTGCGTCTCCCCAGTAACACCTGCCTCTCTCCCCAGTGCCTCTCCCCAGTACGTCACCCCAGTAACACCTGCCCCTCTCCCCAGTAACACCTGCCTCTCTCCCCAGTACGTCTCCCCAGTAACACCTTCCTCTCTCCCCAGTACGTCTCCCCAGTAACACCTGCCACTCTCCCCCAGTACGTCACCCCAGTAACACCTGCCTCTCTCCCCCAGTACGTCACTCCAGTAACACCTGTCTCTCTCCCCAGTGCGTTACCCCAGTAACACCTGCCTCTCTCCCCCAGTACATCTCCCCAGTACGTCATCCCAGTAACACCTTCCTCTCTCCCCAGTACGTCACCCCAGTAACACCTGCCTCTCTCCCCCAGTACGTCTCCCCCAGTAACACCTGCCACTCTCCCCAGTACGTCACCCCAGTAACACCTGTCTCTCTCCCCAGTACATCTCCCCAGTGCGTTACCCCAGTAAGACCTTCCTCTCTCCCCAGTACGTTACCCTAGTAACACCTGCCTCTCTCCCACAGTACGTCTCCCCAGTAACACCTGCCTCTCTCCCCCAGTACGTCACTCCAGTAACACCTGCCTCTCTCCCCAGTAACACCTGCCACTCTCCCCCAGTACGTCTCCCCAGTAACACCTGCCTCTCTCCCCCAGTACGTCACTCCAGTAACACCTTCCTGTCTCCCCAGTACGTCACCCCAGTAACACCTGTCTCTCTCCCACAGTCGTTCTTCGGGCGGACGTACAACAACGTGTCGTCGCTCGGGGACTGCAAGAACGGCGGCCGTTGCGTCATCAACAAGAAGAACAGAACTTCCTGTAAAGCCTGTCGCCTCCGGAAGTGTCTGGTGGTGGGCATGTCCAAGTCCGGCTCCAGGTGGGTCCCTGGTCTTGTGTTGGTCTTGCTGAGGTCTTTATGGTCCCTAGGGCTCCAGGTGGGTCCCCTGGTCTTGTGTTGGTCTTGCTGAGGCCTTTATGGTCCCTAGGGCTCCAGGTGGGTCCCCTGGTCTTGTGTTGGTCTTGCTGAGGTCTTTATGGTCCCTAGGGCATGTCCAAGTCCGGCTCCAGGTGGGTCCCTGATCTTGTGTTGGTCTTGTTGAGGTCTTTATGGTCCCTAGGGCATGTCCAAGTCCGGCTCCAGGTGGGTCCCTGATCTTGTGTTGGTCTTGTTGAGGTCTTTATGGTCCCTAGGGCATGTCCAAGTCCGGCTCCAGGTGGGTCCCTGGTCTTGTGTTGGTCTTGCTGAGGTCTTTATGGTCCCTAGGGCATGTTTAAGTCCGGCTCCAGATGGGTCCTTTTTCTTGTGTTGGTCTTGCTGAGGTCTTTATGGTCCCTAGGGCATGTCCAAGTCCGGCTCCAGGTGGGTCCCTGGTCTTGTGTTGGTCTTGCTGAGGTCTTTATGGTCCCTAGGGCATGTCCAAGTCCGGCTCCAGGTGGGACCTTGGTCTTGTTTTGGTCTTACTGAGGCCACTGTGGTCACCTCAGTAAGACCACAACAAACTGAGATACTTAACAAAGTGACGTACTAATGTGACCTTATCCTAACCTGCCAGAGGACCCAAAACAGAAAACGGGACAGTACGTCACTTTCGCCAGCCGCTGCCATTTTCTAGTACGACGATTTTTGGGGCCATAGGGGAAAGTATACGTCAAAATACGACGGGTTATTCACGACCAAAACAGATAACTGCTTTTTTTTCACGCCTATTTAGACCCACAGGATCGCCAAGGGCTTTATTTTATCAACGGCTGGAGTGTAGACATTAAGTGGAGCAAGTGCAAGCTAAGCGGTCTGGTGATTACCCATCCAGGACTTGACACAGGTGAGCTGAGTGTGAAGGTTATATGTGTTTTGTGGTCCTCGTCTGTAGAGTACTCGACTTCCGCTGTCATTAGCTAGGGGGGGACGCCGCCCCCTCCTCTGCTGTCATGAGCTTGGGACGGGGGGTGGGGGACGCCCCCTCTCCTCTGCTGTCATAAGTGTGTAAGAATTAGTGTAGTAAGATAAGTGTGTAAGAATTAGTGTAGTAAGATAAGTGTGTAAGAATTAGTGTAGTAAGATAAGTGTGTAAGAATTAGTGTAGTAAGATAAGTGTGTAAGAATTAGTGTAGTAAGATAAGTGTGTAAGAATTAGTGTAGTAAGATAAGTGTGTAAGAATTAGTGTAGTAAGATAAGTGTGTAAGAGTTAGTGTAGTAACACAAAGCTCTGGTGTTGAAGGTGCTATCTTTGCTATCATTGCTATCATGGAGACGTTGATAGAAACTAATTCATTTAGTTCTCGTCTGTATTGAGGACTAATTGTTTGCAATTGTGACTGTAATTGTTTGTGATTACTGGGGCTGTTGTTGTTGATGTTGGTCTGTTGTTGTTGTTGCTGTTGTTGTTGTAGTTGTTGGTGTTGTTGTTGTGTTTGTACTCACCTATTTGTGTACCTACAAATGTATTTTTTGTTGCTTTACATAAATGCAAATGATCGCTTGTTCAATAGACGTGATAAACACTTCCTTCTTCAGGTATGGTCGACGGTCCAACTGGTTCAAGATACATTGCCTGCTGCAGGAGAAGGCGGCCTCCCTCACCATAGCCATGGAGCGCAGCAGCAACAACAGCCTGGCGGTACAGGAGGCCAAGAGAACGCTGCAGGTCCTGACGGCCGCGACCACTCCGGAGACCACTTCGAAGACCAACGAGACCTCGGGCGAGGCCGGCTTAGGCATCAAGGAGGAGGAGGACAGTCGAACTGAGTCTCCAGCGCTCAGTAGTCCGGAGTCTCAAGCGTCAGATAATTCCCTCGAGTTCCAGCTTGATCCTAGGAGACCTCCTCCGCCTTTTCATCTCTACCCGAAGTTGGGGATGTTATCTCCGTTCTTCCTACACACCAGTTCCCCTCTCACCTCTCCCTCGTCCACCTATCCACGCCTGCCATTTTATCCGTACCTCTATCCAATTCTCAGTAGGCCTACCGAGAGGCCGACCTCATCCACTCCACAGTCCTGCCCGTCTCCTACTCACACTTATCACCCTACAAATACTACCGTCCTCCCTAGCTCTCCCTCCCCTAACCCTACCCATTCGCTCATTTTCCCCCTTACCCATTCCCCCATTACGAGTCAGCCAAGGGCAAGCTCTCCACCCATCCATACCTCCCCCACTCACCCATCAGACGTCTCACAGGAGGACCAAAACAGAGCGCAAAGCCCTTTCAAAGGTCCAAGAAAAGTTCAACAGGAAAAGGCACTTTCTCCCTCGTCTCTAGACGCCAGGAAGACACCCACTCCTCCCTGCGGCGACGAGGCTGAGGAGCAGCAGGAACCCATGGATCTCTCCGTCAGAAGGATGCCCACGCCCACAGTCCACGCCCCCAGCCAGACACCCACGCCTGCAGAAACCCAAGTCACCTACAGCATGCGGGTGACCACGTCCTCCATCAGCCCTGGGCGTGTACAGGACACTGCCGCCCCGGTAGACCTATCCTGTCGAGCCTAAAGACACTCCCATCAGTCGTAAGATACTACAAAAATATCTCAATAAACATCTACATATTTGTTCAGCATTTACAAGTATATATGTAAATGCTGAAAATCTACCTTATATTCCTGTAAGACGAGGTACGTGAGTAGATGTAAGGAAACTATGCCATTTACAAACTTAGATACATAATAAAGATAGCATTATATTATTGTAAATACGAGAATAAATTATAATGTAGAGAGAGAACTTATAACGCAATATTGGTGATGTTGTCACAGACGTAATACAACGGATTGTTGCATCGTCCAAGGAACATTTTTCTGCAACACAGCCTAAATGTTGGCATCTTACTGTAAGAGGCCTCGTCTGTTAATCTTCCTGGATTACACCTGCGAATCTTAATTGATCGCACTTGTGAATCTTCATGTATGAGTCTATTAGTCCTTCAAGACGGCCTATTAATCCTTCCTGAAGGTCTATTAATCCTTCCTGAAGGTTATTAATTCTTCCTGAAGGTCTATTAATCCTTCCTGAAGGTCTATTAATCCTTCCTGAAGGTCTATTAATCCTTCCTGAAGGTTATTAATTCTTCCTGAAGGTCTATTAATCCTTCCTGAAGGTCTATTAATCCTTCCTGAAGGTCTATTAATCCTTATGCAGGCGATGAGTCACAATAACGTGGCTGAAGTATGTTGACCAGACCAAACACTAGAAGTTGAAGGGACGACGACGTTTCGGTCCGTCCTGGACCATTCTCAAGTCGATTGTTAAAACGTCGTCGTCCCTTCAACTTCTAGTGTGTGGTCTGGTCAACGTCTATTAATCCTTCCTGAAGGTCTATTAATCCTTCCTGAAGGTCTATTAATCCTTCCTGAAGGCCTATTAATCCTTCCTGAAAGTCTATTAATCCTTCCTGAAGGTCTATTAATCCTTCATGAAGGCCTATTAATCCTTTCTGAAAGTCTATTAATCCTTCCTGAAGGTCTATTAATCCTTCATGAAGACCTATTAATCCTGTCTGAAAGTCTATTAATCCTTCCTGAAGGTCTATTAATCCTTCCTGAAGGCCTATTAATCCTTCCTGAAGGTCTATTAATCCTTCCTGAAGGCCTATTAATCCTTCCTGAAAGTCTATTAATCCTTCCTGAAAGTCTATTAATCCTTCCTGAAGGTCTATTAATCCTTCCTGAAGGTCTATTAATCCTTCCTGAAGGTCTATTAATCCTTCCTGAAGGTCTATTAATCCTTCCTGAAGGTCTATTAATCCTTCCTGAAAGTCTATTAATCCTTCCTGAAGGCCTATTAATCCTTCCTGAAAGTCTATTAATCCTTCCTGAAGGATTATTAATCATACCTGAAGACATACTGATGCTCCCTGAAGGTGAGAAGTTATATGAGTCTTAGATCGTCTTCACTATGGCCATGTTGGTGCTAAATTGAGGCTTATCCTACCCCACACACACACACACACACACACACACACACACACACACACACACACGCACACGCACACGCACACGCACGCACACACACACACACACACACACACACACACACACACACACACGCACGCACACACACACACACACACACACACACACACACACACACACACACACACACACACACACACACACACACACACACACACACACACACACACACACACACACACACACACACACACACACACACACACACACACACACACACACACACACACACACACACACACACACACACACACACACACACACACACACGCACACACACACACACACACACACACACACACACACACACACACACACACACACACACGCACACACACACACACACACACACACACACACACACACACACACACACACACACACACGGCCTCGCGGCTGAGTGGACAGCGCTCAGGGGTCGTAGTCTTAGTGGCGCGGATACGATTCACGGGGGAGGCGGAAAAAAATTGGGCAGTTTCTTTCACCCTGATGAAACCTATTTTACTGTTCACCTAACAGTAAATAGGTACCTGGGAGTTAAACAGCTGCTAGGGACTGCTTCCTGGGGATGTGTGTGTGTGTGTGTGTGTGTGTTAGAAATATATGTAGTAGACATAATAGAGGAAAAATAAATTGATTAGAAAGGCGGGGTCCAAGAGCTAATAGCCACATACTGCAGACACAAATAGTAAACACACACACACATGCAACACCGCTTATACCCCTTATAACCCCCCCGAAACCTCAACATTCCGAACTCCCAAACACAAGGGTCTGGCGTCATGCAGGTCTGCGTTCAGTCCCCGACCGTCCACAAGTGCTCGGGCACCATTCCTTCCCCCCGTCCCATCCCAAATCCTTATCCTGACCCCTTCCAAGTTCTATATAGTCGTAATGGCTTGGCGCTTTCCCCCTGATAATTCCCTCCCTCTTCCCCCCCCCTGCCCAACCACTTGGGTTGGACGGTAGGGCGTCATGCAGGTCTGCGTTCAATCCCCGACCGTCCACAAGAGCTCGGGCACCATTCCTTCCCCCCGTCCCATCCCAAATCCTTATCCTGACCCCTTCCCAGTGCTATATAGTCGTAATGGCTTGGCGCTTTCCCTTGATAACTCCCTCCCACTCCCCTCCCCCCCCCCCACCCACGACAAAACCTGGAGTCAGGAAGCGCGGACGACAAGGCGCTGGACACGACCAGCAAAACGACTAATAGGTCCCCCCACAAAGTTATTTCAGCACGGGAGGGAAAAGCTCGTCCTTCACGTGGAGATAATGATGCTAAATGGTGTAGTTTGATTGTTTACAACACGGCAGGTGGTGGAGTTACACCTCAAGGTCGGTGAGAGAAGGGGGAGGCGGGGGGGGGTGAGGTAGGGGAAGATGGCTAGAGGGGGTGGGGGGGGGAGAAGCAGGTGGATAGGGAAGGATATCTTATTTCTGTTATGTTTTTATTTCACCTTATTTCGTGTTTATCTTTCCTCTCTCTCTCTGCTTATTTTCTTTATCTACTATTAGATCTTCTGCTGTTTTTTTTATTCTTATGTTCTATGTATGCTCGTTTTTTCCTGCTTTATTTCCCTGCTTTACTCCTCTCCTCCTAATGTCTCAGAAGGGTCCAAGACGGACCGAAAACTCGTCACAAGGGTTCAGGGACCCTCCCAAGGGTTCAGGGACCCTCACAAGGGTCCAGGGACCCTCACAAGGGTCCAGGGACCCTCCAAAGGGTCCAGGGACCCTCACAAGGGTCCAGAGACCCTCCCAAGGGTCCAGGGACCCTCCCAAGGGTCCAGGGACCCTCACAAGGGTCCAGGGACCCTCACAAGGGTCCAGGGACCCTCACAAGGGTCCAGGGACCCTCACAAGGGTCCAGGGACCCTCACAAGGGTCCAGGGACCTTCCCCTGGACCTAGAAGTCGACTTCTCTCAGCATCCGTCGCAATGACAGGATTGCAGCGATGAACAAGCAGTTGATGTGATTCCCAACCCTCCCTACTCTGCCCTTTCCTTCCCACGTTAGTATGGGTAATTGTAGTCCTCTTTCAACCCGTCCTCTGACCAAGTCCATTCCATCCAGCGGTCGACCCCAAAGACGCATTCACCAATTTTAACATTCTGTCCATTCAAAACTTAACTTTTCTCAAATATAAATTAATATTATTATATATTAGCATATTGTGCATATATAGGCATAGGTTAGGTTAGGTGTTTAGGTTCTGTTGGCGATTATTTGTATTTGTAGTACGTGGGTGAAGCATTTACAGCGTTGTGGTTCGAACACAAGTCGTCAGTGAAGCACTTGTTCCGGAAGTGTTCGAACGTCATCAGTTGTGAGTCGTGTGTAAACCGTTTTTCATTCATAAACACCTGGGGGTTTGGCGGGTGCATGGAATGGTCTTTGGGTCTTTGTTTAGAGAGAGACCGTCTTTCAAACAAAGACCATATACACAATATGCTAATATATAATAATATTAATTTATATTTGAGAAAAGTTAAGTTTTGAATGGACAGAATGTTAAAATTGGTGAATGCGTCTTTGGGGTTGACCGCTGGATGGAATAGACCTGGTCTGAGGACGGGTTGTTCTATTCACCTGGCAGTTACTAGGGAAGCGGGAGTTAGGCAACTGTTGTGGGTTGCATCCTGTAGGAAGGTCAGTAGTTTTTCCAAGCGGGGACCTGGATATAAGCCTCAATGCAGGCTTCCTGTCCCCTGGGAATTATTCATTATTTATGCTTTTGGATGGTATTATTAGTGCGTGCATTTCTTCCCTTTCCCTTAGCTCTCGCATCTTCACCCCTTACCCTTCCTTTCCTCCTTTCCCTTACTCCCACATAATGGGAAATGTGGATATTGTTGTTAAAGATTCGCTACTTGAAACAAAATGTTCCAAGTAGCACGGGCTATGGTGAGCCCGTGGGAAATGTGGAAGAGGTGAACCGCAGCCTGTTTGTCCCTCACCCCAACTCTTCTGCCTCACCCCTCCCCCCATTCTGCCTCACCCCTTCCCCATTCTGCCTCACCCCTTCCCCATTCTGCCTCACCCCTTCCCCATTTCTAGGCCTCTGTCAGTCCCCTCTTTTTCTACCTTAGTCCCTCCCCCACGTTTCCTGGGACACTCGTCCTAGTGTCACTCTGAGTGCCTTACCTCCCTCCCCCCGGCAGTCGCTCAACCACTTGGGCTGGACGGTAGAGCGACGGTCTCCCTTACTGCAGGTCGGAGTTCAATCCCCCGACCGTCCACAAGTGGTTGGGCACCATTCCTTCCCCCCGTCCCATCCCAAATCCTTATCCTGACCCCTTCCCAGTGCTATATAGTCGTAATGGCTTGGCGCTTTCCCCGTGATAGTTCCCCTTCACCCACCTCCTCCTCTCCCTGTCCCAGGAACCATAACGAGTGCCTCTCACAGTCCTAGCCCAAGTGTTACTACACTGAGTGCCTGTTACGACTCACAGTCTTCCCTACACTGAGTGCCTATGGCAGTCCCCCTCCCAGGTGCCTCACTGAGAGAGGACATGCAAAGCCAATATAACAAACTATATATATATATATATATATATATATATATATATATATATATAACAAATATATATCATTAAATAGATTGGGAGAGTTCTTCTTCAATAACTAGTTGTAAAAGCATTTTCAACAGAAACATTATTGTACCTGCGTTCATACAAATTACAAAGTGATACAATCTTTAACATTAGTATTGGTTTGTACAATTTGGATCCGTTTTAGTTGATAAATTTAAAAGACAATTTGAGTAAGATCATTAATAGACAGCTATCTCATTAATATATCATTAGTATTGTTGCTCCCTGCAACTTGCATGTGTTGGCCAATGGGCCTTCTGCAGTTTTATTTCTTATGTTCATGAAGCAAAGACATTGTTTTTATCTCACATCATTGTTTTTCACTTCATTGCTTGCCTATATATCACTACCACTGACTTGTATTATTCATACGGGCTCACCATAGCCCGTGCTACTTGGAACTTTTTGTTCCGAGTAGCTGAATCTTAAAGAAAAACAACATGTATTATTCAATTAAAATGGATTCATGAATAGCCCGTAATTTTGCATTACGGGCTATTCATGCCCGTGCCACCTCTTGGGTGGCTTAATCTTTATCAATCATCAATCTATCTTGTATTATTCATCCTTCTGAAGATGTATTGATTAATACAAAAGTTCCTAAGGAATTTACTGTCTCATTTTCCTTCGTTG